CGCGACTGAGGATGGGCCCTACATCCAGCGAGCTCAGAGTGATGCAGCCACAGCCCAGGAGGCCCTGAGCCACCAGAAGCTGGAAGAAACGGAGAACTCTCCTTTTGAGAGAGGGTTCCGGCCCAGCCGACACACCGTGACTTTGAACTTCTGGCCCCAGAACTATGGGAGAATAAACACCGGGACGGAAACCCTAGGGAGCTAACACAGCCTTGTTCCCTTTTGTGACAGACAAGAGCGTGCGGGACGCGGAGGGTGGGCGGGCGCTTGGGATGTGGGGAGGGTGGCAGAAGTAGGTGTCTGGATTCTAGCAACGGACTCCACAAGAGCACTCTGATACCCCTTGAAGAGCGTTTGGGTGAGCAGCCACACCTCTCTCACGAGACCGACAAACTCAGTGTGAGGCCGCTGCTCTGCCAGAACGGAAGTCCTGAGGGCAAGGACTTTTGTCGCTTTCGGTCAGCGCTACGCCCCAGTGACTAGACCAGTGGCCAAAGCGGTTGCCGAATGACGAGCTTCCTCCGAGCGCCAGCGAGCAGAGGCTGATGAGCAGGACAGGGTGAACTCAGCAGGCTTCACCAAACCCTGCGCATTCCAAGAAAGTCCTGTTTTCACGACTGGCCCATGGCTGACTCCTGCAAACTGAGCAACTAGAATGTTCTGCCTGACCCATGCTGTACCAAGTCTGCCTGGGCGGTCTGTATGGCAGTCCCCACTCATCCGTGGAGGACACGCTCCCAGACGCCCGTGGGTGCCCGAACCACGGATGCACGATGCTGTTTCCCACACATACACACCCACGATGAAGCCTAATCATAAATTTGGCACGCTTAGAGATTAGAAGCGATAACTAATAATAAAACAGAGCGCATAACAACGTGCTGGAGTAAAAGTTACGTGAACAAGGTCCGTCTCTCTGATAACAGGGACGGCTGCGAAGCAGCCGATGGGCAGGGAATACACACGGCGTGGAAACGCTGGACGAGGGACGGGACAGCGCGAGACGGCATCACGCCGCTCAGGACGGTGCCCAGGTCCAGGCGTGTGCACGGCTCTTCTGGAACTTTCCACTTCGTGTTTCACATCGCCGTTGCCGTGGGAAACGGAGACTGGGACCAGCAGGGACTGCTGTGACTTACGGCGAAGGCCTGCTTTTCCTCTGCGGCCCAGAGCCGGAGCAGCGCCGTCGGGGTGCCCACGTGGCTGAGCCGCAGAAAGCCCCCGACACCCAGGCTGCGGCGAGCCTCCGAGGCTGGCTCCCTTCACTGCTGGGGGACTAAGCACGTCCCGGGCAGCCCCACCGGGAGTGGACCCCCGGACTCCTGCACCCGGATGCTCCAGGCCCCGCCCGCCCGGGCGCCGGCCCCTTCGCCGAGCCCACCGCATCCTGCGCTGTGATCGCCCGTGACCGGGGTAAGGCGTGCCAAGTCTGGGTCCTGTGGGTGTCCTCAGCAGATCCTCGAGCCCGAGGGTGCTCCTGAGGACCCCGGGACAGTTCGCGAAGACAGTCCCCTGAGACGACACCACCGGCGGTTTCACCCCTGCCCGGGACCCCGCCAGCTCGTACCTTTGTGTCCCCGTGTGGATGCGGCTGCTGACCTCCCGTCCTCCTCCTGCTGCAGAACTGTACCACGGCCACACGCTCCCTGCTGCGAGATGCTGCGGCACCGGCGCCCGCGGGGGGCGCGGCCGGGCCGCCCTGCAGCTCTGCTCTGAGCTCCGCGAAGAAGCTCTGCGCGCCCTTCCTCTGGCCTCTCACGGGAGAACCAGGCGGGGGCGCGGGCGCTGCCGCCGCGGCCGCTGGCGTCCCCGTGTCTCTCTTCTTGCTCTCCTTCTTCCCGATCCTTTTCGGTTCTGCTTCATCTTCTGTCTCTCCTGTGTGCTCCGACACGGAAAAGGAAAAAGAGCATTTTGGTTTTAGCTGTCACGTGATAGCTAAGTCACATGAGCGCACACGTGTACACATGCCACTGTCACAAGCAACACCTGGATTTACGCGCAAAGGAAAGACGATTCCCTTTCCTTCTGACAGGGCCGTATTTGCACATGTACGGAATCCAAAACGCGCAGTATCTTTTCCTCGGTGACTACGTGTGTCTTTGACTCTTATTAACAACTACTTCAGTCTCACCTTGGTCCTTATTAAAACTGTCACCATGGCAATCGTCCCGGAGACCTGTGACGATCTCGGCTGGCTCACGCTTTGTGCCATTGCAGTGTTTCTCGTTAACTCTAGGGTTACAGGTTTCCTACTTTCTTTCGGTTATGAATTAAGATGAGCCTAAGACAATTGGCTTAATCTGAAGGCCTTTATTCTCCACTAAATCTGCACAGCCCCTGTGTCTCACCTGTTCCAACTCTGACCAGTCACCTGCAGGTTCTGACAGGAATTCGAGGCCTCGTTACCCACCCAACAGTACAAATACCACGCAGCGCTCTAAATAGCGGCTGCTCCTATTCGCTTGGTCTTTATTCAATAAGCATATGTCAAGAGCCAACTAAACTCTGATGTTAGGGATGTAAAAATGAGTATTTACAAACCACACCTGCAGAGCTCCTAGCATAACTTCCAGCCGGTGTTGACACAGACAAAGTCTCCTCTGTCCTCCAATGTTCCCTAGGGCACAGAGATGCTGCCCACGGCACAAGTCAATACAAGGGCGGAGACCGGCGCTGGGCTGTTTAGGGCCTGGAACGCAGCTCTGCAAACTACTAGCTGCACAAGCTCTGCAGGGTTTTAACCTCCAGTGCTTGTAATAAGGGGGCTGAAGGCACTACCTCCTTCATAGAATTAAATGAGTAAACACGTGAAAAGCATAAAGTAGTACACGATACATTCTCAATACTTTTTAGCTATTATTTTTATTGTTTAACTGAGCTTAGAATTTCGAGCAATGGCTCCAAAATAAAACAGCTTTGGCAACATCACGCTAAGTCTTTAAAGGCGCTGCGGCCCAAAGATCGCGTCTGTTGCACGAACGAGGGATGTGGCCGTCGGGAGATAATTTAAGTTTTCTTTTCCTTCCTCCCCATCGTGGCGTGGAAGGAGGGCAGAGGTCGGCCAGCTCGGGCAGGAACAGGATGTTAAAAGCCCTACATGAAAACGTTCTCTGAAGTGCCCGGCGGGACATGCCGAAGGATGAGGCCCCAACACGACCAGGGGTCGGCGGGGGCTGCGGGCGGCGTGCGCAAGGGGCTTCGCGCAGGGCCGGAGCTACCCGCGCCCGAACGCGCGTGCATCACCCCGTTAAGTCCCGACTCGCATTTGGGCTGGTTCCCGCACTCAGGGCGGGGGCAGGGAGCGGGGGGCGTGCGGGTCGCAGCGCCGGAACCGGG